CCGCGGGCAACGTGAGTGCTGCGGGCACTGTGTCGGCTGCTGCGCCACTGGCAACGAGCCCTCGGTTCCTACAGCCCGCACGTGCTGCTGGTAGCGATGCGCTTGCTCCCCCTCCTCGTCCTGCTGGCCGTGTGCTGGCCTGCGCGTGGCACATGGGACAACTGTGGGTAAGTGGCCCGAGGCTCTGGGAGGGAGCTGGGGCAACCCTTGTGGGCTTCACTGGAGGGTGCCTGCTTGTCCCCCGTGGCCACACCACAGCTTCCCGAACCCCACGTGGAAGCCTCGGTTCCTTGCAGCACTCAGGCTGCTGGCCCAGCTCGTCTACGGGGCTAAGGCAGGAACGGGCCAACGTCCGCACGCCGCACGGGCTTCCCTGGCCCTGCTGTCCGTGCAACACCTGTGGGGAGGGAGGATGGCTGAGCTTCAGCCTGAACAGCAGCGAGTCATCGAACAGGACGGTAACGAGTTTCTGGTTACAGAGGGACCTGCGGGCTCCGGCCCATGGCTTCTTACTACGGCATGTCGCGTGTCGTGGGTGGCACAAGCTCCCACCCAGGGGCCTGGCCCTGGATCGTCAGCATCCAGAATCCCTGGCTAGCAGGTGTGGGGCATATATGCGGAGGGTCCCTCATCAGCCCACAGTGGGTTCTCACAGCAGCCCACTGCTTCGTCGAGGCCAGGTAAGGAGGACCAGGGAACGGGGATATCCCCACAGCACTCACAGGTGCCCTGTCCGCAGCACCACCTGCTACTCCCATCCCGTTTCCAGCACTGCAGAGCCCGGCTGAGAGACTGTTCAGGAGGAGGCTGCGCTGCTGCCACTGCTTCCTCGCAGCCTCCGGCTCGACATGCCTCGAGCTGAAGGCATGCTAGGGCAGTCGCACCTTCTGTAGCGCTGCTTTTCTCTCTCCCCTGTGAAGCAGAACGCAGGGAACTGCTGGGCTGCTGCAGCACATGTCTCTGCTCCCTTTAAGCCCTCTCTCCATCTGCCTTCCAGGGACATCAGGACGTGGCGTGTGGTGGTCGGGACCACCTACTTGACTCAGCTGGGCCCTGAGTCCCAAGTGCGCGGTATTAGGCGGCTGGTGGCTCACCAACGCTATAGTAGTATCTCGCAGAGGAACGACATTGCGTTGCTGGAATTGGACCAGCCTGTACAGTGTGGCTACTATGTACAGCTTGCCTGTGTGCCCAACGCCTGGCTGAAAGTGTCAGAGCTGACAGACTGCTACGTCAGTGGCTGGGGTTCCACACATGCAAAATGTAAGTTCCTGCAGAATCCTTGTGTCCCAAGTGCAAGCTCGGCACACCGGGGAGGCGGGCTGGGCTTCCTCACAGCAGAGGCAAAAGCCAGAGTCGGCATGTAGGGACGTATGCCTGTAGAGAGATGGGCCTGGCCCACTACCCAAAGCCAGACAGAAGGGAAACACCGGTACAGTGCCTCTCACGACACAAAGCCGAGCCCTAGGGAAGGGGTTCACCCAGGCAGGGAAGGAGAACTGGCAACAACCTCCTGAGTGTTACCTCCTTTCTGTGCTCACAGCTGGAGGATCAACTGCTGTCCTGCAGGAAGCCAGGGTCCCCCTCATCGATGTCAACCTCTGTAACAGCAGCCAGTGGTACAGAGGAGCCGTCCACACCCACAACCTGTGTGCTGGCTACCCGCAGGGCGGCATTGACACCTGCCAGGTAGGCTCACCTCCCCTTCCCTCTCTGCAGGTTCTCGCCCAGTGCCCCATCTGTCTCAGAGGCCGGGGACTCTGCCCAGAAAGCCCATCCGGTGCTGCTGGCAGCCCGTAGGCCCAGATCCCAATCCTGGAACATCCCCCTTCCACACATCCAGCATCACAGTGCAGAGAGGAGAGAGAGCACACCCTGCCTTACAGGCCTGTGGCTTCTTCCTAGAAAAGTTTCTGTAGGCTCCAGCAGCTGCAGAGCCTTTCTGTGCAGTGAATACAGCGCTGGCAGGTGCTGTGGGAGAGAAGCAGCCAGCCCTAGTGCTGACAGTGGCCACCTAACACCCCCTTCATCCTCTCTCCTCCGCTGCAGGGTGACAGCGGTGGTCCTCTCGTCTGCAAAGATAAAAATGCTGACTACTTCTGGCTTGTTGGAGTGACCAGCTGGGGGAAAGGCTGTGCGAGAGCGAAAACGGCCTGGAATCTACACCTCCACTCAGCACTTCTACGACTGGATCCTGACACAGATGGGATTTCGCTCAGCAGCAAGGGCTTCTCCAACATCAGGGGCATGGAGTCATTTTCTCACTGCCTCAACCCCTTATCAGAGGCCAACACCAACACAATCGGGCAAGTTTAGCTCCTGCCCCTTTCCCCTTGGGAAGCTGGTGGAATTCTTTTCTCGGGCGCAGGAGCTCCTGCTGTTCCTAAAGGAAAAAAAGGCTTGAGCAACAGGATGAAGAGGATCCAGTGCAGGCTTGCAGCGTACCACGACCATTTCTTTCTGGGGCACTGCCTGCTGAGCCAAAGGCAGCCTCAGTGTCAAAGGCCTGCTCCGTCCTGCCCACGCTCCTCCGAGCACACACCAGTGCTGAAGTTGACACAGTTCTTGAAATAAACTCACCAGTTTTCACAGCTAACCATACTTCAGGCCAATTCAGTCTCCAGTGCAAGGCAGGGACTTCCATGCCTGGCACCTGCACAATGCGGCTGCGGGCAGACAAGTGGGGCACAAAGGGAAAGAGCCACAAAAGGGGCCAAAACTCTGCCTGGTCAGAGAGGATGATGCTTAGAGTCACCATGGGATGGAGGAGACTGGCATATCATGGCTAGAAAGAAAAGAGGAAAAATTGACGTGACATGCAGAAACTTTCGGGTATGCATTAAGGCACACAAGCTGATGATCTGGGCCTGGCATAAACCATAGCTAACTGAACATATCACGGGATAATTCTGAGCATAACAAGAGAAATTACCGACATAAGATTCGGCTGCCATGGTATGGGGGAACTGGAATGAGGCATTGGTTGTCTGGAACAACATGCATGCACCAGCATGCACCCCCTTATCTGCCCACATGCACACTCTAGGCATACACCCAATGATGCATGCACACGTCGAATGAACCTCCCACGGGGGCACATGAAAACTCACTTGTCTATGCATGCACGCACACATGTCCACGCACGCATACACGTATGCAGGCATACACACGTACGTGCATGCATACACACTCACAGAGGGAAGTGTTGCACCCACACAAACACATAGCCTGTTATCACCCACATGCTCTGGAGCTGCTTGCATGGATGCAGGCTATCACACCCACTCCTGCCTGTTCCCTCCTGTGTTTGGCCCACACGTCTGTCAGTGTGTGCTTGCTTCCACAGCACTGCAGAAGTCGGGCCTGTCCCTCCACACCCAGCTGCACGGACACTGTTCATCTGCGTTCACTGGCACCTGTGCACGCTGGGGCAGTCACAGCATGCCTTGCTCAGTTTCCTGCAGACAAGTTACCTGCCCACCGTGCACATGGTCCCCACACGTCCTGCCCTGTTCCTTGTCTGGTCTCTGAAACTGTCCCTGTGCCATGCCCGCTCGCACCCCAAGCTCAGAGCCCTAACTGTTCTCTCAGTGTCCTGACTGCCAGCCCCCAGCGCCCTGATCCCTGTGGCCAGGCACCACACAGCAAGCACTGCCATGCCCTACGAGCAAAGTGGGCTCCATGAATTATGCAGCAGTTTTGCCTCCTGCTGCAGCACCAGCCTCCTCACTCTGCCTCTTGGCCCTGAATAATTGATGGCAGTGAGCACAGCAGCAGCAGCAGCAGCCCCAGCATCCTTCTTGTGCCAAGGGCCAGGCCGTTAGGAGGCATGGGGCTAGACACGCAGGAAGGCCAGGGGCTACAGTGACAGTCTGAACAATGGAGAACAGGGAGCAGTGGAAAGCAGAGTTAGCTGACACATTAGAAAGTGGTTGTAAAAGTGGGATGGGTCTTAAGAAATGCTGACTAGTAACAACAAGAAAATCTGGTTGTAAAAGTGGGATGGGTCTTAAGAAATGCTGACTAGTACAACAGAAAATCCAGAACAGACTGGTCGCGCTGGCTGGACGTAAAACAGAGGTGTATCTACATGCGATCATCCCGACTAGGACATTAGGCATTCTCACCCCTGCTTTGTCTTTGGGCTGAAACTCCTCCCCTCTGCCTGCTGGGTGATTAATCCTAGACCACTGCTGCTGTGCCTGTGCCAGTACACCACCTCTGGTCTTGCTTTAATCTCATTTTGATAAACTGAACAGATGGAGAGCTTGAGGACATTCAACTCCTTCCTGTGCCTGTTTTCCGAATTCTCTCTGCTTTTCAAAAGCAAACACAGCAATGGGGTACAGCCTTCCCAGGGTGCAGAACCTTCCCTTTTCCTCCTCGTTCTCCTTATCATTCTCTTCCATCGGAGAACTGCTGTTGGTTGCTCTTTGCACTGTCCCTTCCTCACTTTGATTACAAGGCATTGATTTGCAGGATATGGCTACCTGTGTTCAGGCACAACCAGCAGTTTGTGAGCCTGAACGTGAAAGTCCGTCACTGCTGTATGAAAACAGAAACAAACTTTGCCCGGTGTTATAAATCGAGACTACAATGGGTCGAACTCCAATTGAAATTTTATTAATTATAGCAAGTAGAATATGAGGCAAAACCAGCGCTGGACGACAGGGCAGTCTGTACTCCACCAACTGCCGTACTGAGGAGAACAAACTGTCCCTTTTTATACATTTTTTTTCCCGCGTTCATGGAGTGGTGAAGATACTATGTTTCAACTGTTGCTGGGGTCTAGAGTGGTGGAGATACTCTGCGCATGTGCTAGTTGTTGTTAGGGGGTCGTTTTCTGCCTTCTGGTGGTCGATGATATCCTTATATGGAGTTGTTTTTCTTCTGTTTGTTTTCTTGGGATATCTTGTGATCTGCAGCGTCGGCCATGTGTGCACAAGCAAACACATAATTCCATGAACGATCTCCCCTCCTCTTATATCTTTAAGTCTTAATAAACAATATACTTAACTCATAGTTTCTCACACCCGGAAAGTGCCCAGGCTCCCACAGGGCCCAGCCTCCTCCAAACGATGGCATGCTCTCTGTCCCAAGGGATTTCGCACCCTGTGCGCATCTGGAGAAAAGCAGCTGCATTTGCTCTCCCAGAAGGCGGGAAGCTGGAAGCAGTGGCCCGGGCAGTGACAGGGGATGTCCGCTCGGGCCACCCAGCCCCAGCGGAGAGGACGTCTGTTTGCTGCCACACGCCGGGGTGCCCGTCTGCTCCCAGGACAGCTTCACGGTGTCCCAGCCTCCGCCCCGGTGCGGCTGGCTGCAGGCCCGGCTGCCGGTGCCTGCAAGGCTTTTTCCCCCAGAGACCAGGGGCTGCGCACCCGGGCTGAGTCCGCAGCCCCCAACCCTGGGCACCACCGAGGGGGATTCTGAGGGAAGCCCCTGTAGCTGACCGCAGCACGAGGGGGCAGGCCCGGGTCCCATGGGGCCGGCGGCACCGGGCACGGCGGCGGCGAGGGACCGGCGGCGGCGCGGACTACAACTCCCGGCATGCCCCGCGGCGGGGGGCGGGTCGCGTGGCTGCCCGCGCCTGTCGGGCTCCGTCGGTGGCGGAGCTGCGGGCCCTGCCCGGCCGGTGCTGGGGCTGCGGGTTCCGCCGGGGTCTCGCATCGCTGCCGCCGCATCGCATCGCTGCCGCCGCATCGCATCGCTGCCGGGCTCGAACACGGACCCGTAGTAGCCCACGTAGTGGCCCTGTAGCCCATGCTGACCGCGCGTGTCGGCGGGGCCTCGCCGGGCGGCAGCGCCATGGGGCCGTGGGGCCGGGGCCTGCCGTGGGCTCTGGTGCTGCTCGCCTTGCGCGGAGCGGCCGGCGCCCGCCCCAGCTTCGTCCTGTTGCTGGCGGATGACCTGGGCTTCGGAGACCTGGGCAGCTACGGGCATCCTTCTTCGGCCACGCCCAGCCTGGACCGGATGGCTTCCCGAGGGCTGCGGTTCACCGACTTCTACAGCAGCTCCCCGGTGTGCAGCCCGTCCCGGTACGTCCGCTGCTGCTCCTGCCGCTCTGCCTGGTGGCTGCTGCAGGGCCCCGCGGCAGGTTTGGAGGAAGCACGGCTCGGCACCCAGCTGGGGAGCTGCAGCACTGGGAGGAACGGGTGGTTGACAAACCTGCCGTGTGCCAGGAGGCCCCGGGGTCCAACTGCTCTGTGAGGGGACTGATGGAGCTTCCCAGCAGGCCGGGGAGGCGACAGTGGCAGCTGTGAGGCCGGCGAGCCAAGCTGCCAGGTGCCAGAGAACGGGGCACTCTCTGTGGAGGCTGAGCACCGCGACCTGCGCTGCACCCAGTGTGATGCCTGCCTTCTCTCCCTTTCACCTGTAGGGCAGCCCTGCTGACAGGCCGGTTCCAGATGCGCTCCGGGGTTTACCCTGGTGTGTTCAGCCCAGACTCACGGGGAGGCCTGCCGCTGTCTGAGGTCACCATTGCTGAAGTGCTGAAGGCTGAGGGCTATGCCACAGCCATGGTTGGCAAGTGGCACCTTGGCCTGGGGATTAACGGCTCCCTTCTGCCCATTCATCAGGGCTTTGACCACTTCTTGGGTGTGCCCTACTCTCATGACCAGGTGAGAGGCCTGTCAAGCCGCCAAGGGTGTCTTGGGGATGGCTGGGGGAGTGCCTGAAAGATGAAGCTTGCTTGAGAGCACACAGGCTCTCAAGTTCTTGCCGGAGCAGATGGGTGCGGGTGACTGCAGGCCGGGGAGAGGGGTGCTGGTGGGGAAAGCCCATCTCTGAGATGCTTGGCTGATGGGGCAGTTTTGTACAACATAGGTGGTAGTTGCGTGAGGGTACATACACCCTTTGTCAAGGGAGGAAGGGTCAGCTTCTGGGCTACAAAGAAACATCTGAGTTGCTGTCAGGAGAAAATTATGTTGGGGCAGCATGGTCCTTGGACGATTCTAGGGTGGGCACAGACCCCTTTGCTTCTGGGAGTGGTTGCCCAAAGGGTGCCCGTGGGACCTGGTAGTGGGCCACTGTGAGACTCTTTGCTCCCTTCCCCTCACCGTCCTGCAACGTAGGTAGAAGACAAAGTGTCATTTGTTCTCTCCAGGGCCCTTGCCAGAATCTCACCTGCTTCCCACCTGACGTCAAGTGTTTTGGGACTTGTGACCAAGGCTTGGTGCCAGTCCCACTGCTCTGGAACCAGAGCATTGTGCAGCAGCCAGTCTCTTTCCCTGATCTGGTGCCACTCTACAACAAATTCTCCCGAGACTTCATCGCTGACTGTGCCCGACGAGGCCTCCCCTTCCTGCTCTACTATGCTTCCCACGTAGGAGAGGGAGAGGGCTGCTCTGGGCCCAAGGGTGGGGAAGGGAGCCTTTGTCCTGTGGGGAGAGCAGAGAAGCATCTCAGCTCCTGCAGCCCCAGGGCTGTGCTGAGCAGTCGATACCTGCTTTTGGATGATCTGGGGTTGCTGTTCCCATGCTCAGGTCTTGCATGGCTTTGATAATGTTCTTGGGCTGCTTCTTTCTGGAGTTCTGCCTGCTTCTTTGGGCCAGGAGCCCACCTGGGAAAACTTCCTGCTCTGGGGCTCCATGTCCTCTCCTGGGGCTCAGCTCCTTTGTGCCATTTCTGAGAGATGCTTCCAAAGCTTGGGGAGAAGCCTCCTCTCATCTCATGGCTATTGTCACATTTCTCTGTGTCCAGGCTGGGGTGCTTACTGTCCCCGGGTGAACTGGGAACCAGATGCAGCTCTAGGAGTTTGCACAGCCGTCTTCTCTACCCTTTCTCCAGCATACACACTACCCTCAATTTGCAAGCCAGGAGTATGCAGGGCAGTCACGGCGTGGGCCGTTTGGTGATGCGCTCTTGGAGTTTGACGGCTCAGTGGGACAGCTGCTGCAGACACTGCAGGAAAATGGTCTTGCAAACACGACCTTGGTGTTTTTCACCTCTGACAATGGGTGAGTAGGCTCAGCAGCAGGGATTTTGTCACTAATAAGATTCGGCTGCCATGGTATGGGGGAACTGGAATGAGGCATTGGTTGTCTGGAACAAAAGGGATGTGGTGTGGCATTGCCAGGTGAGACCCCGGTGACCTGAAGTAAGGCAAGAGGTGGGTGCTGCTCTGGAGAGGACCCAGTGCAGTCCTTGTTCCTGTGATTCAGCAA